TGTCAAAGAAGGTTTTGCCTGCATGTATGTCTGAGCACCACAAGTGTGCCCAGTGCCTGCAAAGGCCAGAGGAGACCATCTATCCTGCTACTAGAGCTTCAAATGATTGTGAGCCATCAGGTAGGTGCTTGGAACCAAACCCAGGTCCTCTGGAAAACAACACATACTTTTAACAGGATGCAGGATCCGTCTGGATCATCTGAGTATGGTCAAGATGATCCTGTGGCCATACTTTTCTCTATTCATACTACTTTTTAATTGCATTTCTATGCTTCTAACCCACTGTCTTTAGTATTAAACCCAGAATTAAATTTTTCTTCATTTAGGAATTATTACACAACTGTTTTACAGTGTTATTGTTTTTGCTGCTTATCCTGTTGCTGTGGCAAAATATCACAATACAGAAGGGAGGATTTATCTTGCCTTGAAGTCCAGGGAACAGACCATCATGGTAGAGAAATTGTGCTGGCGGAAGACTGAGGCACTTGTCACACTGAGTCGCTTTCATCTTACTACTCGGTCCAGGACCTTAGTGTACGGAACGATGGCATCCACACTCACGGTGGACCTTCCTCTCTCTGTCAACCTAATCTAAACAATCCCTCACAAGCATGTCCAGAAGTCTGTCTCCCAAGTGATTCTAGATCCCATTAACAACATTAACTACCAGAGCTCTCATGGTAGTTGGCCTATAGGAACAGTAGGGAAAGAGACAAAGATCATAAGACTTTGGGATTTAAGCAACTAAGGATTCTGAGAGTGGGAGAAATAGCTTTCCCCAGGGAAAAGCATGCCAGTTAGTTATCCAATACCGATGGTCAGCCCTGGAAACATACAAACATACCAGTACCACAATGCAGACTGAGTCTTTCTCTCCCTCTCTTTCTGTAACAGGAAAAAATGATGTAATTGAACTTACAATCCTCAAAATAAAGAAATAAAATAAATAAAAGTTTAAAAAAAAACACTAATAGAAGGGTTCTGGTACATATTCAGACTACCAATAACAATGCTTTAAAAAGTATGTTTTAAGGCAAATGCATGTTCTCAATATTCTATTGTCAACTGAAATCCACCATGGACTTGGTGATGTAAAATATGTAGATAGTCATTGGACTGTTCTTGTAGACAATATACTCAAATGACTGGGGTCTGCCTTCTATTCAAGAGACAACCCAACTTAGAAAGACTTTTAAACTCTTATCTAGTATGGAAGCTCAGATGGAAACACATTGAGCAGCCAGCTTGGTTTTTCTCCGCTTCTCTGGTCACTCAGGAAAGGGCCCTCCGCTACTACAGGCTGATCGTTCAGTGCTGCTATCACACTCATAGCAGTAGGACCAGCAATTCCAGGATTGCTATATAGGTCTAATGGAAAGGTCCAACCGAAGAGGCATTGAACTCAGCCTTGTTGAGTTGCGATGCTAGCATAATTAAGCAAGAATTCTATCATGTTCAGAATGGGTTAACACATAGACACTGGGATCAAAACCCTAGCCATTTCCCTACAGAGACGTCTGTGCTTGGTTGACTCAGATGTCTGAGGTATCGCCAGGCGGCTAGTTAGCTAATCACACACACCCTGTCATGCCCTCAGAAACCATAGCTGCAGTAGAAACAATCATCCTTCTCTATATACCATACCTGTGTCCAAGATGGATTGGATTTAGATGGTTAAACTCAAAAGGATTCACAATCACCTGGAGAACACACCTCTGGGAGGGATATGGAGAGGGGGTTTCTAGAAAGAGTTGCTGAGGAGTAGAGGTAGACTGTGATGCAATCATTACCGTTCCTTAGGTTAGGTCCTAGTCTATATAAAAAGAGAAAACAGAGGGCGCAGTGTGACTAGCTGTTTCCACTCCTGCTGCTACAGTTAGGCCACCCATACCCATACTGGGCCTGCTGCTCCATGATGGACAAACCTTTCTTTTCTTTAAGATATCTAGTAGGTGGACCTTGTATTTCTCTAGCTGCCCTAGTTTTCCCACTAAGGAAGCACTTAAGAGCAGAAAATAGTTGCCACTCAATAGTCTTTGCACCCCAGAGCCTAGCATTTACCTTCCTTTCAATAACCATTTTCAACCACAAATTCCCTGCCTACATTTGGTTGCTCTGCCATCCTTACTAAGCATATCACTCATGTGTTCACAGACATTCAGGAGCCCTTTATTGTCTGTTGCATTGTAAGTCTATAAACCACCTAATTTGTACAGAACCACACAAATGTAAAGTTTTTTTGGTAAAATTTTTCTAGAATTGGTTGCTCTACTTCACCAATTCTCTCAGACAGACACAGGACTTGGCTTGGGGCAATACAAGACAAAGGCTTGGATACTCAGAATTACCTCAAGTTTTAGCTTGCCATTGGTACTACAATCTTTTCCCTTGGATAGCTTCTCGGAATTCCCACGACAACCAAAGCCTTCAGCTTTATGTGCAACAGCCCTTTTGTAGAATGGCATTTGCACCATGGTAAACCTTGTCCAAGGATGGTGAGAGTAGTCTCTCCTGTGACACTCATACTTGCTGGAGGGTATTGCTGTTCATCTCACGAACTGGTAGAGTCAGTTTCCCATTGTCTGAATATGAGCTCAGTGGATGGTTTGCTTGGGCCATAGAAGACTTGGATATGCCAAGTGGGGAGTTCCAGATCCTGCCCTTACAACTGCCCATACCTTTCACTTTTAATCCCTTATAACTCTAAGGCACCACATAAAGAAACCTGGTTTCCCTGCTAGAGAGATCAGACAGAGAGTTTCTAGAACCTAGACAGCTAAAAAGAGTGGGGTTCTGGTCAGAGGCTCCAGGTATAAAGAAGGCCATGTTATTTTGGTCCAAACTGCAGCTGGACGAGCAAGCAGGGCAAAGACGATTGTAGCAGGTGAGCCTTGCCGCTCAGCCAAAGACTCGTGAGTAAGTGATGTGGTTGTTGCTATAAACCGCCGAGTCTTAGGCTGGTTGTTACAAAACCATAGATTGTTGATATGCCAGCTGTGTGATTCAAGATTAAATAAGCTCAGACACAGACTTGATGGCACTAGGAAGCCAGAGTCAGGAGGATTGCTGTGGGTTTTAGATAATCCTGGGTTACAGAGTGAAAGAAGCCTTAACTAAACAAATAATCCACATACAGACCTTCTTATTTAATAAGGAGCCTCTGTGCTTTCCTAGCTCTTGCCCATCCCTCTAATTCATCTAGCTTACTATGCGATATCCAGCAATGCAATGCAAAATTTGTGTGAATCAACGCAAAATCAGAGAGAAGTGATTATAATGTGAAATTGCAAATCTTTTAAAATAGGAAATTATGAAATTAATGAAGGTAATGTCGGAGGAGCTCTTGAATCATGGTCAGCTCCTACAATAGATGAGAATCTGCAGCTGTAATAGTTAACATTTGGGAAAAGAAATCCATATGAATGACAGCACAATAAGAGCTTCGGAGAGAATGATTTGAATGTCACGAGAGGCCCTTGGAACATTGATGAAGCCCTCTAATATCTGTGGAATAATCACACTCTATGATTTGCCTACAAAAGTCAAATGTAAAAGGACATAATATCACAGTACCATATAATTTTGTTAGAAAATTAAGCTTCTGAAAATCAATACGTTTCATTTTTTGTTTTAATACTGAACACGTCATTGTTCAACTAAAATGTACTAAATATCGGTTAAGTTTATTTTAGAACTTTTCTTAATTTTGTAAAAGGCAAAATCCTAATCAAATCGTCTTTTGGCATTTTGTAATCTCTATTCCTGAAGAGTTCACTTTAAGTAGGGGAGAGGAGAGCTAGCAGTTATCTGAGGAAACCGGGGTCTCTATAATGTCTTTAATGTATCTTCCTCGTGAGCAGGTACTCACTGAAGGCAGGGTCCTGGCACGTGCTCTGTGAATACTGTTGCTTACTGCAGACAGCTGAGAATAAGGCAACCAATGAATACAACACCATAAGAGCTACTGTTTCATTGGTTTACATGGAGATATTGCCATTAAGAATGCACTGTCGCAGGATCAGTCCCTGACCCAGTAGGAGCTGACATTTGTTCTTGAAATCCTTCATAGCACGCCTGTCACAAACTTCCTGCCAAAAACGCTTTCACAGTCTGGATACACTTAAAACCAGTTCAAGCATGTAAAGCCATTTTAGAAAATAAGTCCCGCATCCCAAGGGCCCGGCTAAGGAGGGCCACATGTGAGAACAGGTGTGCCACTTTGCTGAGCAGGAATCTGGAAATGTCAAGCATTAGAACCACTCCAACTCAACCTGGCCCCCAGTCACACTTCTGGGCCTGTGTCAGTAAATGCCTCACAAGAATGAGGATTGAGAAAAGCTCGCTCGGCATGAATTCAGAATAGGTGGAGACAAATCAGCTCTTCTTTCTTTCTTTCTTTCTTTCTTTCTTTCTTTCTTTCTTTCTTTCCACTGCTTGGGGAGAAGTGTTCCTCTTTCCATCTTTTAAAAAGAAAAAACAAAGTCTACGATTCTAAAAGAGCATTCATTTAAAAGGTTTCCATCTCTTATGCAACGGTTCACAGTGGTCAGCCTCACTTGTCTTAACTTCCCTGAGTCTAAGCTCTTTCAAGTTGGATTGCATGCCCTCTCACAGCAGCAGGAGACACTAGGTTGTTTTCCTTGTCTTTATCAGCGAGATTTCCTCCCCTTTGCAAATGAGAACCGAACACCACAGACTTTGGCAGTGCAGACCCTTTCAACTCTACACCTCCCAGAAGGGCACTCCGTGTTCTGAAACCTATCAGTCAGCTCTGGGCCAAGAGCAAACAATACTTTCTGTTACAATAACTCGTATCCAGGAAAAAAAACAGGCGCTCTGTAACGTAGCAGCCAGAGGAAAGTTTACTAGCTCTAGCCAATCAGAGGCCCGGGAGCTCGGCCAAGTTAACATGTTTCTCCCCGCCTCTAAATGAACTCATGATTGAAATATGGCATTGAACTTGTTTTAAAAAGGGAAGGGGTGTGGGAAAGAAAGGCAAATGCGGCAAAGAGCCCCGGCTTGTGGGGAGCGTGGTTAGGAAGTGTGTGCTTGTCACTGAACCCTGAGTGGATCTGCTAACCCTTGCCTCCCACTGGGTGGAGCAGGGCCTTTAAGAGCAGCTGGAATGCAGTTTCCTGATCAGCTTAGCCAGTTATTCCCTGTCTGAACCTCTGCTAGCCCTAGGGAGTAGTGCTGAGTTCAGACCAACAGGCCTCCTGAGCTCTTCACCACAGCCCACTTTTTGCCTGAGCAAGAAGCTTCTAGCAGGGGAGTAGGTTCCCATCTGGCCAACCATGGGAGAGGACGCTGCACAAGCAGAAAAGTTCCGGCACCCAAATACTGACATGCACCAGGAGAAGCCATCCAGCCCCAGCCCAATGCCTTCCTCCACACCGAGCCCCAGCCTGAACCTGGGCTCCACAGACGAAGCCATCCGAGACAACTCGCAAGTGAATGCTGTCACCGTGCACACGCTCCTGGATAAGCTGGTCAACATGCTGGACGCTGTGAGGGAGAACCAGCACAACATGGAGCAGCGGCAGATCAACCTGGAGGGCTCAGTGAAGGGCATCCAGAACGACCTCACCAAGCTCTCCAAGTACCAGGCCTCCACCAGCAACACGGTGAGCAAGCTGCTGGAGAAGTCTCGCAAGGTCAGCGCTCACACGCGCGCAGTCCGGGAGCGCCTGGAGAGGCAGTGTGTCCAGGTGAAGAGGCTGGAGAGCAACCATGCCCAGCTCCTCCGACGCAACCACTTCAAAGTGCTCATCTTCCAGGTCAGTGTCCCCAGGGGACCCCTGCACATACGTGATCTCAGTCCTCGAGCTCTCAGGGCTATCTTCCCGTCTGTCCTGCTAGTCAAGCATCTCACACACAAAGCATTGTCCTCTAGCTGCCTGCTGCAGGCCATTGTGAACGGTGCCCACAGGGCTGGAATCTCCCCCATCCCTCAGGCAAACGCCTGTGGGCCTGACAGGCTGGGGACATTTGTTAGTGAACACCTAGATGCACTTGGTTAACGGTGGGAACCTGAGCAGGTGCAGGCACCCACTCCAGTCAAATCCATTTGTCTCTTTTCATTAGGAACTTGGGGCTGTGGCTGCAGCTGTTAGCTGGACAGGGCAAATTAATTCCATGGCTGTTTATTAACTCTTAGTGGAAGCAAGGTTAACTTATGGAAAGGATTTGTTTTCTTTGGCTCTAACCAAGACTGCATGCACGTAACCTTTAAGTTATCCCTTTTTCCAAAGGCCCCTGCTGTTTTGGAAACTAACCGAATGGAAAGTTGAACTAGACTTGTTCTTTAAGACATCTTTTGTCAAAGCAATCTCCAGTTCTTTCCTAGCAAGTGATGCATTAAAAGTGGGAAGCAAAGTATAAATCTTTACAAACATGCAAGATCTGCCCCTCTTTGCTCAGGAGGACATAACTCTAAAGTGAAATCAAAGAAGTGTTATCAGTGGTCGTCACAAAGACCGGCCTTAAATATCTTCTCCTTCAAGTAGTTGCCTTGGCATGAAAAGGCTACTTAATTTTTTAATGGATCAATGATGCAATTAATGTAGCAAAGGCTATTTGGGGACAGGAAGGTTGCGTGGGGCTGTTGTTCCGCCGAGCGGTGGGCATCTGTGAATCCCAGGGCTGCCCTGCCTAGTGCTGGAAGCCCTTCCGTGGGTGGCAGTGAGCCAGCCCAGACCCCAGGAAGCACTGCCATCCTGCCTCGGGGCTGTCTCCTTGTGACCATGTGAATAGGAGAGGATTTCAAAGCCATGGAGGGGAGAGGCTATAACCAACAGATTGTGAAAGCATACAGGGAGAGCCTTCATCTCCCAAAAGACATTTAGAAACTGGAATTTAAACCGAAGGAGCCTTCTTTTTCCTAATGAATCGACTCTGCCAAGTTAGAACACCGGCCTGCCTATCACCATAAAAGGGAAGACTCGTTTGGCTGCCTTTGTGTCCTCCCCAAATTGCACTTGAGTGCTGGGAGGTTCAGACAGCCGATGCTCCTTTATCTCACAGGCTTTTGCAGTTGGGAAACTTTTAGGCTTTTAATGCAGATGCAATGGCTTTCCAGGAAGCAGCTGAACTGGAAGGAGATGTGGTCAGCCATCTGAGATCCTGCCTTTATTAGCCTAAGACCCTGGAAGCCTTAGCTCTCAAGACATTTCTAAACTAATAGTGATTTCCAAACAAACCAGAACATAGACAGGCCTGTCAAAAGAAACTTCCATCCTTTCAGTAAGAATCAGAGAAACTGTATCTCATCATCATTCAAAAGGGAAGGAAAGCCTTTGCCTAGTCAAGGAAAATTAGGATTTTTAGGTTGTGTTTTTTGTTTTGATATTAATGTGCTACAGGTTTGAGTAAGAAGGATGGAGGAGATAAGTGAGGAGGAAGGATTGGGGGAAGTGACTAAATATTCAAGAGAACCGTGAATCTGACATTTGGGGAACTTAAAGGCGTATGCTGTTGATGAGGGACTGACAAAGTCACTTGTTTTGTTGCACTGGATTGACAAGTGTGATATTGCACCAGAAATAGTAAGAATTCTCCACATCATGAGGAAATGCTGAAACAGGTGTGCTCAAGAACAAAACAGAAACAAAGGGAATATGAACAAAGTGGGCAGGCTGTTCTCAGCCCATTACAAAGCACCCCTGACAAGGCTGTGAAGAGCAGTTTAGAAGGCAGGGAGCTTCAGGCAAGTGACTAGACCTTTCTTTACCCAGAGGAGGACCTCTGCTAGCTAAAGGGAGTTAGAACCTCGACTCTGAAGACACACATGGTAATTTGAAAAAGAGAATGTAACTGCAGTTTTGTCTCTTTTCTTTCTTAAAGTACAGAGGTTTTTTTTTTTTAATAGGATATCAACTATGCTAACGGTGAAACAATAATTTTTATTAAAGTATACTCCAGAATAGTGAATGGGAAGACAAATCGTTACACAGACACTGCTGAGCTCTTGATAAGCCCAGCATGTACCACTAAGCCCAGTTCTCTGTAAGATACACGACCTTGCCCTGTTCTCCGTGCTTTCTTCCCTATTCTCAATTTACCGGTGAAGATCCTGAGATTCATACATGCTTTCAGCTTGTCTGAAGTTGTTTAGCACATGAGTGGCAAAGTTGGCATTCAAGGCCACATTTAATTGGTCTCAGAATATGTGCTTTCAGACACCAGCACTGCCTGGGTCATAGCTCTCCCACAATTGAGGAATAAAGAAAGTGACATATGTAAAATGACTCTTACAGACTGGCATGGTGGAAGTGCTCACAGAGCAGTATCTGTGAGTCTGCAAGTCTGAAATGCAGGCATTAGATGGGATGCTCCACTTCTTTTGGTTTAGAAATACTGTTCTTGGGGCCAAAACTGGCCTCACCCTTCTGAGGATCTTGAAATAGCTTTGTTTGTCCCTTTTTGGTTGAGACTTACTAGCGCACACATATACACGCGCACACACACACATTATACGACTATTATCATGTCAGAATCCATCAGAGCAAAGGACTCACCCCAAAATACCTACTCTGAATAGACCCTTCTAGTATGAGTACATACTTCATGGTATGGCAGAAGGGGACTATTCCAGACCACCAGAGAAAGTGTATGTCATATCTATGCTGGTACCACTTTGTGCCTTTTAAGAAACTGTCATTTTTAGTACACTTGAAGCCTGTAATGCAATTTTCCTTACTAAATTATTACCTTTTTTGTTTAGGGCAAAACAAAATTTGAAAATAAGAGGAATGTTTAAAAAGAAAATCTGTCCCTTGCCTTGGGTATATTTGGCACTGTAACATTGAAAAGATCTATGCTTACAGTTTGTAGAATCCTGTTACACCATCCCAAATCTACCTCTGAGTGTATGTATCTGCTTGTGTGTTTGTGTGTGTATATCTGTGTGTATGTGTGTGATTGTATCTGCGTTTGAGAGTGTGTGAGTATATGAATGTGTGTGTGTTTGTATGTATGTAAGATGATTTGTAAGATACTTATGCATTTAGTCTTTTAATTCCTTGCTTTATTTTAAATCTGTGCTACTTAAAACATGTCATTTTATTTATTGAAATCTTTGCTGAGCTTCACACCACTATTGTAGCTATTAAGCATCTAATCCCTTAGTGATTACTTCAAATTACAACCATCAGTATCTAAAAACTGGAGAAACCATAACCATACCCTCCCACCTCCTTGAACAATGATATATCTTGGAAATTCTAGTTGAATTCAGCAATTTAAAAAAATGGCAATAGTTTAATATAATATTTGAATTCCAAATCCTGAGACAAAAACCAGCAAAATAAGGTAAGACTTATGGGCACTGATGACTGAAATAAACCATGTGGTGGTGGTGGTGCACACCTTTAACCCCCGGCACTCAGTAGGCAGACATAGGCAGACCTCTAGGTTCAAAGCTAGCCCAGTCAACAGAGGGAGTTCCAGGACAGCCAAGGCTACGCAGAGAAACCATGTCCTGAAAACTAAAAAAAAAAAAAAAAAAAAAAAAAAAAAAAAAAAAAAAAAAAAAAAGAAAGAAAGAAAGAAAGAAAAGAAAAGAAAAGAAAAATATTAATACTAAAGAAATACCAAGCTTAACACTTTTCTTGTAAGCATGTCTATCTTTTGCTAAAAACTGAAGCTGTAACGTAGAGCTAAGAGGAAAGTCTTTCTGCTTGTTAAAGAGGCTTCAGAAACGTCACCGTAACTGGCCCAGGCGGTGAGCTGTCACTATGTCCTCAGACGGCTCGAGGAATGATTATTTGAAAAAGCAGTTTGGAAATAATTTCAAAACCAGGGGACAAACTGAGAACACGCATGGACAGCTTGCACTTTCATCTACATTGAGTTGTGAAATTGGATGAACAAAGCAGAGAGCGGTTACATATTTGTAGCACAGACATTTGTGGGAAATTCAGTCTATAAACATTCATCATTGGAGCTCCTTCACTATCATCAGAATTTTAGAAGTATGCAAAAACTAGATCTCCTGAGGGTGTTTATATCGATTAGTTTAAAGACAGCACTTTATCCAAAATCATTGCTCTAAAAGCTGTTCAATTGGTATGGACTGGAAAGAAATGGGATTATGGGTAATCAAAGATACCTTTACATGAAATACTATAATATATATATATATATATATAGTAGTTTTTATTCCTGTCTGGAATTAAATACATTTGGTGTGAATGGGTATTTGGTATGAATGGGCATACCATGGTATTATTTCTGTGAGTAGCTTTTTCTTTTTGTGGAATATCAAACATAATCAAATATTTTTTTATCTGGGAGACCTCTTAACAATCATTTAATTTAACATTATTTTATATGAAAGAAACATAGGCTCTGAAAAAGAAAATGACTGTCAAGGTCTCGTTTCATTGATAAGAGAACTTATAGGATGTAATGATGAATCAGATAAAAATAAAAACTATAATCTCACTGTGCTAAGATTCATGGGTATGAGTTTTACTAGATCAGCTTTTAAATAATTCAGTGTGGTTTGGTTTTTGTTTTGTTTTTATATTTTCGTGTATGACAAAGAACTCCTAACCAACATGATCTTTAAAAAACCAAAAAACAAACAAACAAACAAACAAACAAAAAAAACATGAACCCTTGATAACACTAAAAATAATGAGACTTTTAAATCCTCCAGAACGTGAAAGACTGCCCAGGGATTATAACTAATGCATTTTATTCTTATGACTTGCTGATTTCTCCGACAGCCACCCTGTGGGTGCAGTTCTAATCAATGGCTTTATCCAGTTGGCAATCTATACCTCAGAAACACAAACTGGAGAAACCATCAATGTGTCAAGGAGACCTATAAATCACAGTGTCAGGTGGCATAGTTTCATTTTAATAACTACTATTTAGAGATTATTGGATAAAATATTCCATGGACACAAATTTATGCTCTTCACATCCCAGCAGGATGCCACCGCGTCCCTGTTATTTTTGTCTAACAACAGGAATGAGAGATGAGTGACAGGAAAGCCAACAGCTGGCATCTCTCTCCTTAGTGGGGCTTTTAAATGACTTAACGTTGACTTTCGTTCCTAATGCTGGTCAGGGAGCCTCTTGTTTCTAATTTTGCATATGTGTATGTGCCGAGACTTGTATCATCCAACCTAAGACCAAGAAGTGTCCAGCAGGCTGGCGGGCTTTTCTGCATCGATATTTACATGCACGACTGGGACTATTAGTTTACAAGAATCAATATAAGTAGCAAACAAGCAGAAGTGCAAGGAAAAATGCTACTTCTCAGCGCCTGTTCCAGGCCTTTCTCCCGTGTGCTACAGGTACCCCCGTCATTGATGTTAGAAGTTTACTACTTGATTTTCTCTTCCTTTGGAAGCCTGCTAAGGGTCCTTGTGAAAGGTCAGAACCAGGAACACCTACATCAGCGGCGGCTGAGAAACTGTTTAAAAACGGAGGACAATGACCAGCTGCTCCCAGCTAGGGGCTTCTCCTAGCTGGCGCTGCCCAAGGAAGTCAACCGCAAGAGCCCTCTGTGCCATTTCAGGGAGTCGCATATCCCACGCAGAGGACAGGGCAGCAGGAGCAAGCTGCAGCAGAAGTATGGCTGTGGACCTAGCTTCACCCTTAAAATAGCTGTCAGTCCAGAAATCTGTAAGAGAAAGCAGGTCACGGGCATTACTAGTGAAGGTTGAACACAGAAGTTTCACCTCGCTTGTAGACAAGAGGAGTAAAAAGTGTTCATTAAAGTGTGTAAGAGAATTGCATAGCATACAGTGTGCGCCGGTGAGAGGGTAGCTCCAGTGGATCCTAGTCACACAGAATTCCCACCACTGAACATCACGCTTTGTATGCTTGTATAAGGTAGCAACTTGGAAAAAGGGGAATTGTATTTTTCTGATTCTAAACAAATGTTTTGAAAGGAAGAAGGAAAGAAAGAAAGAAAGAAAGAAAGAAAGAAAGAAAGAAAGAAAGGAAGGAAGGAAGGAAGGAAGGAAGGAAGGAAGGAAGGAAGGAAGGAAGGAAGGAAGGAAGGAAAAACTATGTGCTCGGGATTTATAAACTCCTATGCAAAAGGAAAAGGATTGCCTTCAAAGAAGATGCCAAAAGAAGCCACAAGATACACGTACTGTCCAGGAGACAGGACATAAAATATAGCCTGGGTAATTAAAATGACAGCAGAGCACTGCGGCTAGCCAAAAGGACACTGCAAAGTAGTTTCTAGTTGCATAAAGACACATCCAACTCATTCTGGATTACCTCTGCTCCTGCCGGGTTAATCCCATAATTGGCATCCTAGAACTCTCATGTAAATTTTCCTGTACATTTTCGAATTTCACAAAAGAGTTCAACTGGGTTTTCATCTTCCTTCAGTACCCCACCCCCACATGCTGCCTGGATCTACCACAGGTATTCCAATTCTCTTCCTAATCACTCTCCTCAAAGGATTCACGATAAGGGAGATAAAAGAGACACAAGACTCAGCAGTAGCTTCTCTTTGGTAATAAAATTTACATTTAAGAAAAGCTGAAATTTATTTTAATTCTCCCTCCTGTTAAAATTGAAGAAGGGAATGTTATCTGGTCTACAACTGTTGATTACGCTGAGAGCTTGTGGTATAGACAATCTACAACTGTTGATTACCCTGAGGGCTTACGGTATAGACAACGTGCCTTAAGGCTCAGTTTTCACAGAGTTCTGCCTGAAGTCCTTCTTTCCTCACTGAGGACTTTTAATAACATTTCACTGAGCTCTTGGTTTTATCCTTCCCTGCCAGCAACAACTGCCAAATCTCCTCAACGCTCTTAATCAAACCCCAGGAGAAATTCTGCTTCAGGACTAGACATCAGAGCCCTGACTACTACTTCTGTAAGTGCACCCCTCTTTGAAGTATTCATCCATCGCCCCAAAACAAAATCCTTCTTTCAGAGGGAGAGCTCAGTTCCCCTCAGGCCTTGGCTTCTCTAGTTTCGTCAGTGCTACCAGCATTTGGCAAACTTCCTTCCAGACAGAGCTGAGAAGGCCCATTCTCCTACATCCCCCCAGCCTGCCCCACATGGAGTGTTCTACACTGCAGGCGCCCTCACAACCCTCTTAGAAAGCCGTCTTACCCAATGTGTTCATTTAATAAGCAGTTGCTAAGCTTCAAGTGTTGAGGCACCATGGCAAGGAAAAACAAAAATCCTTCTAGGAAGTCTAAGGCAGTGGATCAGAAGCAACTTCAAGTGCTCAAAGGAGTATCAAGCTGTTCTCTCCGAAAGTCCACACCCCAAAGGACTCCTGGGAATTATGCCCTCCCAATAGCTCCTCACTTAACGAGTGGCGCCTGGGAGATCATGTATACCCGCTATGCTGAAGTTTGGGATAAGCTTATTTTTGCAGGTCTTGTGCAGATAACCCCAGTTGCTGTGAGTTCGTGTTTGGGGTAGCTATGACATGCACAGAAGAGAGAATTTCACACACTCCTCCTGTCCTACCCTCTAGCATGTACATTCTTTCCACCCATTTTCCTCAGTGTCCCCAACCCTTCAGGAATGAAGGAGGACTGCTACAGACGCCCATTTGGAGCTGGGCACGGTCACTTATTCTCAGTGCTATGACCAGTTAAGGATCTTTCTATCGACTGCTGCGCACTGCAAAGAGAAGCTTCTGTGACTAAGGGTCAGAATGGCCCTGGTCTATGATGACAAACAGCAATATTTAAAGGCTGCTTTGACGTCATGATCATATAGCAAAATAATAATAGCAGAATACTAGGGACTACGATATCCCGGGCCATGGGCTTTGACCAGGATTACAGAACCAGGAATAAAGTCCCTTCCTGTGAAGGAGGCCCCAAATCCAATCAGAAAGCAGTTAGCTACCCCTGTAACAGCCATACCACTATTGTACCAGCAACCGCTGCTTGTCTGGCAGGTTGGTGTTACAAGATGAAGGTTCTAGTACTGTGTGAGATGACTGATGTGTTGTCTCTCTCAGAGCAGCCTGCATAACACCTTCTAGCACTGTGAAAGACAGATCGCCACCAGGCAGGACAAACAGACCGTTAAAGCCACCGACTGTAGTTATTTTTTTTCAACTTCCAAGTATGCTGGGCTGACTAAGATGCACTGTGGTCACCTAGAGGCTCTGGCCACAGCATAGGTGGAAGGAGTTTGCACCCCTGCCCTGCTTACACTCTTGAAGCCCTGATGGTGGCCCCGAGGGTGCATTTTGAAAGCTTCTAATCTAGGTCAAATCCTCTGGTTTGTATTTGGAAGGAACAGGAACCCAAGGAGATTAACTCAAGGAGATTTGTTGAAGCCACACAGCCTTTTAGCAGTACAAAGACACTCTAATGCCTCTGCCACAGTCCTCCATCTTGTGCTATTATTGTGGATGGGAAACATGTGAGTACTGTGATAATGAATTCTCATGTAACAGTGGAAAAAAAAAAAAAAGAATACTTAGAACTCAAAGGTGCTGTTATACTATGTGGCCCAAATCTGCATTCAAATCTCTCAGCAAGCAGCCTTGTATCTTGGAGACAAATTTTCTGGCTCTACCATTCCCTGAAATTCTATAGGAGGCCACGTTGCATATGTGAGAAGCTGGAGGCAGGGTGTGGTGGGGAGCCTGAAGACGGAAGGTTCTCCAGCTTCTCTCCTCGCTCTTACCTGGAGGTGAGGCCAAAGCTTTGTTACCCAGAGACGATACTTCATACTAGAGGCTTGATGTTATGCCTGGCCATTCATTTCGCCTCCTCGTGATCCCTTACTGATTGCCACAAACCACACCCTGAGCCACTAAGCTTCATTTATGTTATGCAAAGTTCGTGTGTGTCTGAGTGTGTGTGTGTGTGTGTGTGTGTGTGTGTGTGTGTGTGTGTGTGTTCTGGTTAATCCAACCATCCCCTCTAATGCACAGTGGAGGAAGAAGGGACCTAATCAAGGTTTCTGCCCTGCTCTTCACTGAAGGACTCCAGTGTTCTTTTCTGACTTCTTGTGTGTTTTCCAGCTTGACCTTTGGGCTCTTTTGTAGTTGGATTTTGACAGAAGCTATTCCCCTGACCCAAAGGAAGGTAGGAGAGGGCTCTGGGTTCACAGTGATATAGCTTACTATATCTCCTTTATCTGGGCAGTTTCCTGGCCTGTATGAGTCAGGCCACTTCCCTCTGCCTGTCACTGATAGTGTGTGCCCTTGCCAGTTCCCCTCACTGTCTTCCCCCTGGCAGGCCTTGGCCTTATCCAGCCCAAGGTGACTGAAGGGACCCAAATTAGAACGAATGCTTCCTGCTCTATAAAGCCATGCTGTGCTTCTATCGTTTCCACTGCCCAGAACACAAACCCAGATTACAGCAGTGGAGGACTATTTGTGAAATGTGCTGCTATCATAAACCTACACTGCCCTTCGTTTCAGGAAGAAAGTGAGATCCCTGCCAGTGTGTTTGTGAAGGAGCCGCTTCCCAGCCCTGCCCAGAAGGACCTTGCTGGTGAGAACAAGTCCCTGGAGGAAACTCTGCACAACGTGGACCTCTCCTCCGATGACGAATTGCCCCGTGATGAGGAAGGCCTGGAAGACAGTGCAGAGGAAAAGATGGAAGAGAGCAGGGCAGAAAAAATAAAAAGATCCAGCCTCAGGAAAGTGGATAGCCTCAAGAAAGCGTTTTCTCGCCAGAACATCGAGAAAAAGATGAACAAGCTGGGGACAAAGATCGTATCTGCTGAGAGGAGAGAAAAAATTAAGAAGTCACTCACATCCAATAACCAAAAAGCATCTTCAGGGAAAAGCTCCCCCTTCAAGGTTTCTCCTCTCTCTTTTGGTCGGAAGAAAGTCCGGGAGGGAGAAAGCTCCGTGGAAAATGAGACCAAGTTAGAAGATCAGATGCAGAATGACCATGAGGAGGGCTCGTTCGCAGAGGGTCTTTCTGAAGCATCTCTCCACAGCGGCCTGGCGGAGGGCAGCGCAGAAGATGCTGAGAAGCCAGCTCTGAGAGGAAACAACTCCGGTGTGGACAGCAACGCTGATCTGACCATTGTGGAAGATGAAGAAGAAGAATCGGTGGCCCTGCAGCAGGCACAACAGGTTCGCTATGAGAGTGGCTACATGCTTAAGTCGGAGGAGATGGAGGAATCCAGCGCTGAGCAGGTTCAGCCGGCGGTGCTGCGTGTGGACCAGACCGCTTGAGTGTGCGGCCAGAACACTGGGCCAGAGGCAGAACCCGGGGGCATCCGCGTCCGGGAAGCCATCTCTGCACCTCTTCATCTCTACATGCTCTCCACTGTGACTGCCTAGGCCTTAGTCCACTGGCCATCCAGCAGCCTCAGATACACATGGGATCACGGAAACAAACTGCCAGGAATTACACTTCTAATTTGCACCTAGGTTCTATTTCTGTAAAATTTTCCAAGAAGAAAGAAACAAAGCAGTTGAAAAAAAATTACCAATCTATTTGGCCTATTCAGAAAAAAAAAAAAAAAAAACTAGAGGACATTTCCAATAGTAGTCATAAAATGACATCTATTTTTATGGTCATTCTGTCAGCTTGCTAAATAATGTAGCAGTAGCGTAGTGAATTCTTACTGTATTCTGTGAATGATTATTCCTCAAATATGTAATATAGGATACATATAACTATGTAAGCTGAGGACGTAACTCCATATTTTAAGAAGAAAATATTTACAAAAGTAAAGCAGAACGCTTAGCTGATTATTCTCTTATAGAAACAATTGTTTATTGCAAGTGGGGGAAATGAAAGGCTGTGATGGGCAGCTAATGGCATGAGAACTAAGGCTGGAAAATGAAAGAAATGTTAGACAAAGAATGGCAAAAAGAATGACAACAAAGAGGGAATAAGAATGCACCTAAAAAGTGAAAAATTGACATTTTAAATCTATTTTGCTCTTTAAGTAACAAGACTAAAGAACTCCATACATCTCACAAGAATATGTCTTTTCTTCCCAATGTTTTCATAGTCTGGGATTAAATACTATAACTAGATATTCTGGTATAAAAGCTGTGGTTCTTCTTATTCAAGAAATGGTAGTGCACATCTTTCTGTGAAAAAAGTTCAAAAGGATATTCTCTCTTTAACATTGGAATAAGTGTAAGTCTGAAATCAATAGTGTGTACTGTTTTTTGGGAAGATCAGTCACATGATCCTTTAAATTCTTTAAATTTTTAAATTTTTCACTTTGAAGTAAACTTTCCACTCCAGGTATGATATAGGTTTATAAGGTGTTCAAACCTACATAATTAAGAAGGGTAAAATGCTGTTTTTCCTTTTTTTACACATAATGATTATTTTATTCCAGATAATATTTTATTTATCTATTAATTTCACAGAATTCTAACCTTTTTAGCTTATAAAAGGATGCTAATATTTTTATGTTGTGTATGTCCATTCTTTCTAACATACTAAAAGTTACTCTACCTGTTTTTCATTACAAAATGTCAATGTTTTGTTAAATTACAGTCTAAATACAGGAGGGCCAGAGTTCGAATTCTCTACTTACTGTGCAGGACATGTGATCTTACAAGTAGAGGTGACCCAAGCAGCGGTCACAAGCTGTGTTCTGTCTTCAAGAAAAGAGATGAGTAAAGTGTGTTGATGGTATAACCTTGTCAGCTATGTTTCTATTTTGTAATAAATGTAACCACAAATCCTGAATTGTTGAACTAACAAAGCCTGTGTGAAAGAAGATTAAATAAACAAAAAATAAGAAGAATAGAACAATGTCAGTTTGTTTGGCAAAACAATCTTACAGGCAGCAGGAACTGATTTTAAAATGTTCCTCAGAATGTAATGGTAACGTTGATTGTTTCAGTCTTGATTTCCCCTATTAACTCTGCTTTCTTTTCCCTCTTGATCTCATTTAGAAATCCAACACTCATCCTTCAAGTTTAGCTTTCTTGACATCACCTTGCCAGCTCTATAGCATCTGAATTCTTTGCAGCAACTTGGTTAATTTGATAGCTGGGTCTGCATTTGAGAGTGTTGCACTAGGTCTTAACAAGGCTTTCAACAGTCTCCCAAGCCTCAGTCTATTGAGCTATGCAAGCACTGTGTTTGCTCAGATCCACTTTGTCCACTGCAGACCATAGACAAAATAGTCTCCTTTACATAGCACCTGAAGCATGCTTGCTGTTCTTCTATAGAGCGTCACTTACTGTGCCTGAGGAGTTGGCAGATCCATGGATCCATGAAACATATCTACCTCCCATGGCAAAAACAAACAACAAACAAACAAACAAACTCATTTATTCCTACACACTAGATGCTTGTCAGTGGGAGCTGCATGCAAACATCTTAAGTTTTATAGAACAATCACATTTATTCTATGTTCCACAGTGGAAGCTTTAAAATACCAAGCAATGAAACAGAGAATTAGGCCAGATAATTGTTGAGAAACACATACCATAGGGACCAGAGCAAGCAGCAGTTGCTGAGACAGAACCTATTTGTTCTGTGTTATTGTTGAATTATTTGCATACTGGTGAGGCTGTGAAGCCCCAAATTAGATATGTCCTCTACCCACCCATACAATAAACCATCCCTAACTTTATGTGCCTAGAGCTCAAGAACTCAATCAGTTCCACATTAATAAGGACTGAGATCTGAATCACAGACACATGACTTGGGAGTTAGAAGCATTTATTCCATGGATCACAAATCTCACAAAAAAATCTAGCAAAAATGTTATTTTTCTACAAGATTTATTTCTTTTAAATTTGTAGAGTTCGCCAGGAATGTCTTCCTCTGACTTAAGAAACCAATGTTTGATTAATTAGACCAGTTCCTTTTATACATGAAAGTAAAAATAGACTGGTGATAAAAATTATTTCTGCATAAATCCAGGTTTTTCCAGGACTACTTTTCTGCTGAAAGCCTCCACTCTAGCAGTGCCCATCCCCTGTGAAGTTTGGGCTTCATCTGCTTCCACCCACTAGAAGAAAACTAGAGGCTCCCTCACAGCCAAGCTGCCAGTGTTAAGGAAAGGTTATAATGAAAGTCATTTCCTACATTAAGACACTAATGCCTGAGCCCAGTTAATTCCTGCTCCAACGTTTGTTTACTGCCCTACAGCCCAAATCTAAGTGATTTTATATTGGAGATTGGGAGTATGAAGAATGGAGGTGCAGGCAGCAATCATTATTAACAGTTCCATAGCAACCACGAGTCCTTCCCTAAAACCCATGACTCCAGCGCTGCAAAGCACACTGTCAATGAAATTGGCATTGCGACCTTTGTGTGCTGCTTGATCTGGGTGTCCAGATAAAGAATTCTGCAGCCAGCGACTCATTCCTAAAGGGGACAGGCAGAAACCTCACACTCCTGGAGGCCCTTCAGTCTTCATTTTAACTATTGCATTCTCTTGGAGTATTTGAAACTCAAAAATTATATTTTTAACTCTGCATACAAACTGCCGCAATTAAGAAGTCACACCTTTAGCAAACAGTTTGATGTTATATATTTATGTACTTTCCATTGTAAAAATCAATTTGTTAAGTATTTGTAGAGCAAAGCAACATTTACACCCTTTCGTTTGCTGAAATTCTTAAACACTTTGTGCAGTAACACACAAGAAGGAAAGGAAAGAACAAATATTATTTTTTATAGTTTCCTTGACTTCAGCCTGAGCACACCAATGTCTAGCAATTTTATGTGCCTAGTACGGGCGTGACCTCACTGAGAATCCTATTGGGAAAACACTAGTTTTCTTCCATCTTAATAGAGTGTGAACTTGAGATGTTTGTGGTTAATTTATTCCAGCTGGTAAGGTAAAGAGGCGGGACTCCAGAGATTTTTAAACATTGATTGTGTTCTTATTTAAATACAAAGATACTGTGTCTCTCAGACCTGTGGAGAACACTCTCAGACCCTCTGTCTCCTGGGTACCAAAATTCAAGAGTGTCATAAAACGGCATACTCATCTGCACCTAACTTACGTGCTTACTCGAGTATAGTTTAAATTCTTTCTAGATTGTTATTACCTAAACACAACACACACTCTTTAAAGAATATTTATTTGTTTTTATTTGCCTGTATGTATGTGCATCTGTGTTGGATTATACCGCCACATGTCTGCAAGTGCCTGGGGAGGCAGTGGATCCCCTGGAGCAGAAGTCACATGTGTTTGCGAGCAGCCTATTGTGGGTGCTGGGAACTGAACCTGGGCCCTTTGCAAGAACAGTAAGCACCCTTAACTGTTGAGCTGTTTCTCAAGCCCTAGTAAGTCATACAGTTCACACAAAAATTGTTATACCAAATTGTTTAGCATGTAAAAACAAAAGTGTTTATAAATTTTAATGCTTAAGCATTATTTTAATTTTTGACCTGTAGTTGAACACACTGGTCCAGAATCATTAGCTACAGGAACTAACCGGTTTTTGTCTGAGGGCCCAAGTCATGTGGATTGCCCGTGTCACTGTAACTAGTAAATAGTACTGGGGTTCTATCCCAATCTGAATCCACTCTGCCAAAGTGGACTCCTAGCTACGACATGGCCATGTTGGTTCTGAATTGCTCTGTAAGCCGTCTGACAGTCTCCTGTTCATTTCATTGTATCACTCCTACAGCAAACTGGCAGCAGAGATAGATCCTGCAAGTTGCTCATTCAAAGAAGGCTCATGGGGTCTGTCTCAAACCTTGGGTGTTATGAGAATCACATTCCTCTGCCATCCTGGAGAAATTTCTATGATCTACTCATATATCTCTCCCAGAGGCTGACAAAGAGAACAAAGTTAGCACAGGGTAGGAAGGAAGAGTTTGGAAGTTACATGGACCATGATGACAGTATGCAGCCCTTCCAGTGAATGTGATTTCTACACTACTGTGAAGCTTTCTTTTCAAAAATAAACAGAGGCTTTGCCAAACAAATGCTTGAACCTCTGTCTCTATGGGCAAGAAATCAAAGAAACTCCTCTAGGCCAGCACTCATTCATCAAGGTGTACGCTGCAGGCAGCGACTCCCTCCAAAGGCTTTGTCAGCCGTCACAAACTTAAATCTCTGAAGGGCTCACACAGAAATGAGATGGCTTAAGCAGGGGGTGGCAGTTGTGGCAAAGCAGTTACCTGTGGGCTTCCTGACGAGGCAAGCTTAATTCTCATATGCCTGGAGGCGTGCCCTTCCCTGACTCCCACAAAGGGAAAGTGTGTTCTACAAGCCACAAAGTCTACCCAACTCCAATTGCCATGTGGAAAACCAGGCCAGTGATGCCAAAATTTAGACTTCTCATTAAAAGAGCCAAAATTCAGATTTCTTCTTGATGTGAAAAATCTCTTGGCTTTTAATTTTTGGCAAGTAGTCCAAATCATTTTCAACAGTTGCACACTGTGCAGGCCAAACATCAGTCCTTGTTGGATGGATGTGGTCCAGGTACATACCATCAGTTTCTGACTCCTGCTCTCTAGAGATGAAGGCTCTAGAGTTCATCTTGCCTTCCTGAAGGCTATCAACACCAGAATAGACAGCTAGCAGGAGGATCAGATTTGCCTTGAGAACACAAAAGCCTTCTGAGGGAACATAAAACTACAAGAATGCTCCTTCTGGAACTTTTATGAACACTCCCTCTTACTGCCTTCTGGATGCATTCAAAGATTGCTCTTCTTGGTGTGTCTTTGCTGTGGGAAGGGAGAAGCAACCCATTATACTGGAGTGATAACGTGTTCATTAGTGACAAGCCTTGGTTATCAGCGTTGCTGGCCATGTGTGAGTCACCTGCATTCCTGGATGGCAGAGGTAAGTAGAATTACATGGCCAGTTTCTCTCCCTCTTGTGATTCAGCTGAAAAATATCTGCTTTGTCAATAACTTGGAGACCCTCTAGATGATAAGAAGCAAGTCTGTGTTCTGCTTCGTCATGCATCATGAAGTTGCCAGCCAACACTTGTTCTTCGACTCTTCATTGTTGATAAGGAGGCACAGAAGGGGAAGAGCATGGCTCAATTCTTTTAGATGCTAAATTGAGCCTTCAAAACTCAGAGTTGGAGAAAGAAGCTGATACAGATTTAGCACAGGGTCATGATGTCCTCTTGTGAAAGAGAAACTTTTCATGCTTGTAACCACTTGTAGTTCTGAGGAAGGGCAAGGATTCACTGGGTCTCTAAGGGCTGCTTGCATGGCAATCACCTTCAGAACCCTAAGAACATGGAGAAAAATGCAGCATGATCTAGTGAATAAACCCTACTTGGTAAATTAAATTTCCTAGGGCCTTTAAAGCAATAATTTTGAGTTTCTAAATAGACAAAAAAAGAAGTTCCCACCCTCGGATGCATGTAGGTGTAAATGCAGTGTTACAGATTATCAGATTGACCCTGAAATTAAGCACAGAAAGCAAATGAAGCATAGTGAATATTATGTAATATATTGCTTAGTTCACTACTAAGGTTTGACTACGAAATGCGCCCACAAACAAAGCCTCATCCGTTAAATTATGGAGCTATTTGAGGAGCTGGTGAAAACCTTGGGTAGGAGCACCTGGCTGGAGGGAGTCAGGCACTTAGACACTGTCTTACAGCAGCCATTCTCAATGTGCGCCTCGCCTCGAAATTGGATGACCCTTTCACAGAAGTCACCTAACCATTGGAAAACACAGATATTTACACTGTGATTTATAACATTAGCAAAATTACAGTTATGAAGTAGCAACAAAAATAAATTTATGGTTGGGGGTCACTGTATTAAAGGGTCACAACCTTTACTAGTTGACTGAGAACTAGTACTATAAA